AGAAGAAGTTACAGCAAAATCTATCTGTAGATAAATACTGAAAGAGCAAAAATACTTTTATAATCACTTTAAAATTTGATACCATTAAAAAAAGATTACAATCGTGAATTCTTCTATTTTCATGTGATTTTAATAAAATTTTAGTTCATTTTACCAGTATTTATAAGTTATGAATCATAACTCAGAGTTCTGTTAAAATATAACTCATTTTTATGATTATTCTGTTCGAAGTTTATTGACTAATTCACATCTGTCTTAAATGTGATAACGCAATTAAACATATTGCGTACTATATGTTTTATTACCACATAAAAGTAAAATTATATGAGCAAAACCATATAAATCCAGCTGTAACTGCAGGGACCATCAATTCGCAATGGAATTCCAGAAATACCAAAGATGATATGATCGTGCATTTGCACCGAAACCGATTTGTGAATGCGATTCGATTATATTTTCAACATTTTATTGTCCGTAATCCGAATTGACGTTGACACTGCGAATGTCCAAAATTTCGACGAGCCTTTGAAATATAATTACACTCGACACCTCTTTTTTTTTTTGTTATCGTCCAATCGAAATGACATTTTCGATTGTACCTGCAAACCAACATTTTATTTTTGTGAACTGAAACTGCGTCGCGTTCCAGACATTTCTGGTGTTACAATCAACAAAGCGATATATTATTGCGCTGTTCAAATTCGCGTAGAATTTAAACATCAATATCCGTGGATTTAAACCAAATTTTATTTTCTACTTGTGAAATCAAATATAAATGTTTCAATATTGACAATAGTTTATTTGCTATTGAAGCCACAATACGGTGGATTTTAAATTGTGTTGGATTACCAAAATCTATATAAATGTAAACCAAATTACAAATAAATCTATCACTGTTGTATTATGTGTCTTAATTTCCTCTATATACTGGAAATTCCATTGACATAAAGCATAAAAATGACTAATAAAACTTCAATATTAGCATAAAATGGAAACAAATAATTGTTTAAGAGGTTGTGATTTGTTTCATTATTTTTTCAAAGCTTGTATCTTATCATAACTTTGAGAAACAAATAAATAAGAGGAGTGAGTTTTTCTCTGTTAAATTATAAAAATAGTATCATAGGTGGATGGATGATGTTATAATTATTGTTTTTGTCTTGCACAGCAAACAAACGAGCAAGACTTTCTGATGTAATAGTTTGCCTTCTTTAGTTTCTTAGTTAAGAGTTTTTCATTCGTGAGTTGTTCATTCTGTGTTAACTCTTTGAAGAGCCAGAAATGTCTAGACAACTGATTCTGTCAACTGAATCAACATCGGATGGTATGGACTATCAAAATTCATCCCTTGACATATTAATCAAATTAAAGGGTAATATCTCTTTCCTCGTTATTTTATAAAAAAACCCTCCCTCAAAGATAATTTGTATCAATATTTCTTCAACATTCTTGATGAAATATTTCAGTTAAAATATATTTGATAAGGTTTTTTTTATCCAATAGTTATTCTATTAATCTCATAAAGTTTGAAACTTGATGTATATCTTTTCAATTTTCAATGATTTAAGAGGTCGCTTGAATTAGTATTTCTATTATCAAATGGAATAGAATGTTAGAAACTTTAAGATCTTTCAATCAATCAATTTTTTTTCAATCAATTTTAAAATGTTTTATTATATGTAAGTGCAGATACAGGTATATGTTACAAAGGGGTGGCGTATATGTGAGCTTGAGCTCATTTCGCCAGAAACATGATATGTACATTGTGATAGTTTTGTTATTTAAAAAAAAAAAAAAAGTTTTACAATTATTGGGGTTATTTTTTAAGATCTTTCTAGTATGTCTTTATTAAAAATAAAAGTGAATACAAAGAATATTTTTAGAATTAATAAAGTTATGTCTATATAAATATGACTATTATATGTCTTTTTTCGAAACTTGTATGTTTTGTGAATACGGTAAAGGTAAATGAGTGTTAACAGCACGTTGTTATTATGCAGAGAGATCCATTTAAATCGGTTTAAAACGGTTTTCCGCTATTTCGTAAGAACACGTCTATAGGTGATTCGGCTGCAACGTGAACTATACTGTGTTTTCGTTTCGAAATTAGGTCCTTCAGGTATAAAATTATGCGTTTGCGTGAAGGTAAAACGCGGGCACAAGAAGAATGGTTGCTTGCGTTCAGCGATGGTGAGGTGAGCTGCGGATCACACAAGTCTCTTAACCGGTTCCAGTACTCTCCGATGGTTCATGAAGAGAAAGAAAATAAAAGAAAGGAAAGCATTGAAAGAAGCAAAAAAAGAAGCACTCCATAAAATTCCTTCATATTATTATATACCTATAAGCTCACACACGCCAGCAAATACCGACCAGAACTCTTCGCCGCGGCTAATTTATTGCGCAAAGCTTCGAGAATAATAATAAAGTTATTTGAATTTCCCCTGCGGAGATCATTTGCTAAAGGAAAATGTGCACAAAAATAATGCCCCAATAAGGAGCAAAGCAGTCCGGCGCTTTTAGAAAGCAGCAAACGCAATTACCGAAGGTCTGGCCAGTTTCTTGTGTGTTTATTTATTTATTTATTTTTGTTGTTTCGTCGATTCGATCAAAACCGGGTTCGACGGATTTTACGAATCTAATTGTAACTTCTCCATCACATCTAGCGGGTCCTTTCGATTACGAAACTCTCGTACGTGTCTTCGGTTTCTTGTTGTTGTTGTTGGAACAACAATGGATCAATCCTCTTAAGAAATTCCCAAACAACGAACCCACTCCGACCTCAACTTTAACCCATATTTGACCCACAAAAACGTACAGATTAATCTCGGGCTTATGCAAATCACGCTTTTGAATTAATTACCTAACACCATTTCGATTTAATAAAAATTCTCCTCCGAGTTTCATTTTATTTTAGTTTTTTTTGCTTTTGCATGAGTCAACGTCTATCCATTTGCGTTCAAGTCTAAAACAATGATAGACGATTGCGTGCGTGTCATTCTCTGTTCGTTTTCTTTTCATTCAAGGTTTGATGAGCATTCTTGAGGCAACGCTTTGTTTGAGTTTTAAACATTTTCCCCCCGGTTGACTCCTCCTGTGCAGATTGTCATCGATTTCTCAACTTATACTGGGACAGAGCAGTGCTAATAATAGCACGAGAAAACGCTGAAATAGCACCTGAAATGCTCGCTCTGAAAATACACTTGCTTGAGGAAGAATATCATCGAATCGCAAAACGCGCATTATTTTGTCTCATCCTAATCTACAACCCAAAATCATTGAGATTAGATATCGATAGTACACAAAAACGAGTGAATTTTTTGAGGTCACCTGAAAATCGTACCTTATTCAATGCATTAGTAACAACTTGAAAAGGTCAAAGTCATCATTAATTTTTCTTACAGCCTACACCACTTATCTGAATCGTGTTTTCATTTTGTTTCTCTGTTTCGTTTTCGAATTTCTAAACTCATTACGATCTTATATTTTAAATTGGTCATTGGGGAAACGCATGATTATTACACTCGCATTTATTGATTATACAAGAGATGATTGAAACCATGATTATTGGATACATAAGCAGGATAATGCCATGTTGTGCAACGTGCGCTGCATACGGAATTAGTATAATAATATATTGTAATTTATTTTCGCTTTGCCGAAGCCTGTTTACCGACTATAATGTTTTTTTTTAGTCTATGTGAGTGTCTTAATACTTTGTTGCTGATCTATAATTCTCTTTAAACATATTACAGCGAAATTTCAAACATATCTTAAGAACTTGTTTCTGCTTATTATCAATAAGCCTTATATATACAGCATGGAGCTGGTTAGGATCGATGCATTAAAGTTTTAATTGGAGATTCCTTATTAAAGGAAAATCTCATAGGATTGGATGGATGTTTTGGAAGTTGCCTGACATGCTTCAAGTTTGAACAATAATTGTAACTAATTTGACGCTTTGCATTTAATTTAAAAAAAATATATCCATAATAAACTAAATAAATAAGTAATAAACAAATATTTTACAGACTGAATGTAAATCTTAATTTTACTTTTAGATACATCTCTTCGTATCTGAAGAATGTTCATGATATTATTTATAATATATGAGTATTAAAAGATTATATTGATAATAAACTATGTGTTTCGTGATTATTTTTATTGTAATAATTATTAAAATTATTAACAATGAGATTTTATTTTAAGTTTAATTAATTATTATTAGTATTATTGTTATTCAATAATTGTATATAAGTAGATTTACTACTTAATATTAAGAAAATTAGTAGTGTATTAATAATTAATTAGAAATAAGCAAGAATACTTTTTATTATTGTGTTGTATTCATCTAAAACATAATTATATTTTATCCTATTGTTCGGAATCAATTGTATTCTTCCAAATTGACTTCCGTGTATCGCAAGGTGCCAACTTTATATGTATATTATACCAAATATAAGTTGTAATAAAAGAAACTTAAAAACTATTTCCACCGAAATATAATAATTATATTAACATAAATTGTGTAAATAATGAAAGTTAATTAAGTTGTATATAGACAATGGATTACTATAATAGAATAAACTAATGAATGAATTTTTCAATATGCAAAAAATAAAAGTCGGTCAATAAACTTAAAAGATGGTCATATGCCAAATACTCACAGTATCTTGACATTAATTTACTAAGTAATTTATTTGCATGCCAATTTTGTTGAACCGATGCCGAAATATGTATAGAGGTGATACAATAGTTTATTAATACATTAGACATATATTTTATTACAGTTAAATAGTTTATGTAGTCCAGTTTCGATTGATTTATTAACATAACTGGAATATTTTTTTAAAAAGTTCATAATCACCCCTAAATAAACTTGCAGAAAATCTCTTAGAAAATAATATATTTAAAAATTGAAAATAATATATATAAATTTAATTTAGGTAATATATATAAATTTACTTCACATTTTTTTATATTTATTCTATAAAATTTTATACAAATTGATTGTTGGCACTTGGAAAACCTTGCGTCATTTATAATCATAGCTATAAAATTAATACATTTAAATTGCGTTACATAATAATATTAATATTAGCTATTAAAGAAAGCTCAAAAACTGATATGTTCTTCGAGGTAGTACGTGTACAAGATAAAAAAAAGATAGTAGAAAATGATTCATTCGGTAACATTCTTTAGTCAAAACTGACAATGACAAAATTAAACAGCAAATGTTTGTCTGTTACATCCGTGCGCATTGTTTCCCATTCATAAATGTTTCAATATTTACTCATTTTTATTGTTGTTTTCTTCAAAACAAACATGGGATGTTTGACGCACGTCGTTCGGGTTCCTGCATTCTAAACTAATCTAATGTTAATTAGATGAGATAGATCAGGAATGGTAAATAAACATGAGCCACCGTGTGCGGCTTTGACGTCGCGTTTTCTTTTGATTCATCTTGAGTCAATCGGATTTCGTTTTGTTTTTGTTCATATAATATTCGTCTTTTTCGAAGCCAAATATTGCCAATCGGAAGATGATGCTTCCACTCGCATTTGGCTCACTGAATGCGTGCTTATTGGTTTGTGAGTCTCTGTATGTCTTGTGTTCGTTTTTCGTTTACATTAAAAAAAAAGCCTCTTTAATAACATTTGCTTTGTTTCGTCGGTCTGCCACGCCATCTCAGTATCCTGAACTCGAATTCGAACGAGTTGCTGTCTGAGCTCTTGAAATGCTGAAGTATGTGCCTTGAAATGAATACGCAATTCTTGCCCGGTTCCATCGTTGATGTGTACCTCATTTGCACACATTTCTCCGTGGGATGCATCACAGTCACCTCCTGCAAGAAGCGACTCGCCTTTTCAGGTGGTCCGAAGTATTCGGTCACGATCCAAGCACCACCGTCGTTATCATAATCGACTCCTACAAAATACAAAAATAAATAAACAACGAAAATGATTGATTGACGTTAAGATTACCTTGGACGCTCCAGAAGACGTCATTCTTCAACTGCGTCCTCCAGAAGGTGAAGGAAAATATTTTCCCCGTCCTGGGAATCACCGTTCCAAGTTTGGTTAGGTAAATGTCATCGCCGGCATCCAAATCCCCGAAATCCGGTTCAGGTTTCGCAACGGCCACAACTTCCATACTCCTCTTCCTGTTGCGCCGGCGGGAGCGTCTCTTACCCAGTTTAATCACTGAAAATACATACGAACATACACATCGCGTTACCACCATGAAATCTCTCGGATTCGTTAACAGAAAATCGATGCACGTGGAATAATATATTTGTTTGCCCATTAAAACGTCTTTATTACCGAACATTAGTCTTCCCTTCGGTTTCCGCGCACAGTAAACTGCTGAAATAATGATGGCAATAATAAAACCGAAACTATAACGTGTCAGAGGGAAAATTTAATCAGAACCCCTTTATTGCACCCCCACAGTATTTACGTTATACATTTTTTTTCGTCGTCCAATAAATTCTATTATTAAAAGATCGTAGTTGTTATTTAAATGTTATAAGTCACGCCATCTACTAACAGCTTTCGTTCTCTATTTTTTTCCTCTCCCTTTACCACTATGGGTCTTTTGTTCCAATGAATTACCGCTTTGACCAATCTAATCCGATCTTAATTACCTCAAGAAAATGATTTATTGTGGCGGCAGCAACGTTCTTAATAATTATGAATCACACTCTATAGTCTAGTATTATTCAGTGTCGACTGCCAATAAAATGATTATATATGGCTTAGAAAAATACAAAAAAATACATATTTACCCCAGTAATTAACACACCGTAATTTTGATATTTAATCATTTATTATTAGAGAAATGTATATTAAGATATGAATCAACAAATTAAGTAATTAGTAAATTATTTAATTTAATTGAAAACTTGTAAAGTATTACATTATGAATTATTTTAGTTCAGCGTCAATGCTTTAATTATGTATTAATAATATTATGAGAAAGTTTATTGCGTATATGATTCTTACAACAGTTAAGCAAAACTGATAATATTCATCATATCAGAACAATAGAGAAAGTCTTAACACTACACACAATTGCACTATTCAAATGACTGAAGGACTTAGTGGTTGATAACAACTTAACACTGAACTTTATCATATAATTACGTACAGTTTTATACATTCATTTGAAGGAGCAAATACACATTTGTATTGTAATTTTTATTATATATTTCAGTTATTTAATTGAAAAACAAAGAAGTCGATATAATACAATAGTATTCGTTTAATGCAAAATATTTTTATTCAAAATTTAGTTCTACACAAGAGAAAAGAAGTATTTACAAACGAGTTATACGAAATCCCGTTTCACGTATACGTGCTATTTCCTGTATTCTTGTAGTCATTAGCAGTTAACACACAAAATGTTGCTCCATCTCATTAAATTATATTTTTAAATTTATTTTATCCTTTAGGTATTTATTTAAGAAAGAAAAATATTGATTTATTTATTTTAATCTTCTGTTAATTCTGTGAATCAAAATATAATTTAAGGAAATTACACATTTGATGTTATCCTTTATATAGGATTTTTTTTCATATAATAATTGTATTTAATTACTCTTCAAGAAAATTACTTGATCTATTCCTTAAAAAAATAGAAGTAAATTTTAATCAAAATAACAAATAATAAAATCTCATTGTATATAATTTGAATGTAGAGTTGACTCATAATTTGTGTTTTTGTTTTACATTCTTCCCGGCTTTCCGGTATGACGGAAATTCATACCCACTAATCTAATCTTATCTTAATTAACTTAAGACGATGATTTATGTCGGCGAAGTAGGGTTCTCGTAATAATTATGAATCACCCTGTATAGTATCTCCTTAAGTAATTACATTTATTCACAAACTTTTTTTTTCGCTCTTTACAGAACATGATTATGTAGCAAATTACTCTCTCTTTTAGAAAACTTAATTTCTTAATACATAGTTTAAAGTTTGTATATACACGTTGGATGCGATCATCTTTGAAACATTATATAATAAATCGAAATGCTTCAGGCCTTTTGAACAATTATAAAATTTAGTTGGGATTACAAATAAAGAACGTAAAACGATATCGAGTTCCGGCTTGTATTTCTAAACAGATGCCAGAGCATGATTCGGTAATTTATAACATGTTATAAATAGCGTGAAATTAAAGTACGGTTTTCACTTAATGGATTGACTTTCTTCCATCATTCGGACGGGCGGAAACGGATGGAAAAACTTTAATCGAATTGTAAGTAAATATTGATTCGGAGAAATGTGCAATGTAAATAAGTATATTTACCCGGGCAATTTTTCGGCTTCTCGGTCTGGAGGTGCATCGCGTATCTCTTTCAAATTAGACTGGTCCTGGAAAATTGGCAAATACAAACTTTTATCTACGACTGATTTCACTCTCTGTTTACACACTGATAATAACGCACACACGTTAATATTTGCGCATGATACGTTTTATTATTACTCTTTTGTTTTGTTTGATTCAGCGAAGCAATTAGCTTCGTGGTTCGCACGAGAATAATACAATCGAGAATCGCATGGAGGAGTTGAGGATGAACCGAACTTGCAGTGGGCAAGGTTTTCGAAAATTTAAAAATAATAGCAGAGGTTTCGCAACTTAAAAATAGCTCTGCCTCTTATTACCCGTGACGCACTCTTTAATTAAAGTGGATTACTCAACGGTTTGAATCATGGAAGCTCTGTACTATTTGTTATATTTGCAGTTGCATGTTAAAGTTTAGTTTTGTTCAAGGAAAATTTATGAAAAGAGAAGCGTTCTGATTGAAACAAACCTTTTGCTAGTTGATTTGCACGAAGGGAGGGATAACGAAATAGAACAAACAAACACAGGTATCACTGAACACTGTCACAGAATATGTTTCCAATCCTTTTCGCCTGTTTTTTTTTTTGCGACGGATTTTTGTTTGTGCGGTCGGAAAATGTGATTTTCTTAATGAATCGATCCGTGCGGTCCACGTTCGAACACCGCTCGAACTCACAATGCGATAGAATTGTAGGGTAGAGACGATATTCCGGCTAGAATTTCGTTCCTGGCTTCGGGCCAAAAAGCAACGCTCTGTACATTCATAACATCGCGTCTCGCACGAAAATACTACAGTGACTACATACACACACAGCTCTCTTCACGCCGACATCCGCAGCATTCACTAGAACAAAAATAGCCCCCAGAGTTTTTTGGCATTCTCTAAATGGATTCGGACCACTTCGAAAGTCGTCCATATGACAAGGTTAGATCGAGGAATTGGAACGATTTCGTCATTACCGAATTGCGATATTTTGTTCTTTCGCCGTTGCGGATAATCAATGTTACCTCCGCAATGTTACTTACTTACCACCACCCATAGAAGCAGCGCGTTGCTTCCGCCTTGGATTCTTTTTACGTATTCGAAAGTGTATTCCGTCCGCAGCAATTACGTTATTAAAAATTGAAAGAACCAACATTACTCATCCCCGGAAGACTGTTTCGTCCCTTTTTTTCTTTCCTTTCTTCTTACAATGTTGACACTGCGTATGCCTTTGGGGACTTTCTGTCCTTTCAAATATTTACATTTGTGAATTCAAAGAAAAACATGTTCGACTGTATCACATCTGCGTACATATGGGGAGAAACCTGTTATACGTTATTAATATCCTGACTTTGTTTTAGAGGAAATTTGATTTATTACGTGTTTACGCTTAAGTATTCGATCACCGAGACTCGTTTTAACTGAAAACTTTCTCTAATTTAACAATTTTTCAATTACAATTTTATAAAAAACTTTGTCGACACATTTTATAAGTCTTATCTATAAATTATCAAGTAAATTACTATATCTTACAAAATGCTAATGTTAAGCTAAAAATAAAATTTATAGTAAATATTAAGTTTTTATATGTGATTATGATTATAAATACTTGAATTATTATTTAATTATTTAATTACAACAAATTATTACAGAAAAAGGTTATGAAAGAGTACGTAGAAACTCAATTAGTAAAGATATATCTTGTGACTATTATTAATTTTCGAAGAGTAGGAGTAATAACTCTTAATGGATGATGTTTTTGGCAAACCTCAATAAAATAAGTTTACATGAAAAGCAATAAATATGTACAAGATATAAACATTCTTTTAAATTTATTAACATAATTTATTTAATTTTCTTTTTAAATTTTAGTCATATATTCAAACTTGTTACAGATGAATTACTGTGAATAAATTCTATTTACATAATAGCATAAATATAGTTGGTAGAAAAATCTAGCAAATACAGATTTATTTATTTTTATTATAAACATGAATTTAACAATTTATTTAGAACTTTAAATAATTGCATTTTATGATTTTTTATAATTGTATATTAATTCACAAATAAATTTGCTTAACAAATAAACAGAATAGAAAACCAATTTAAACATATTTTTATTGTAAATTTTATCATATCTTACCATTTTTTAAGGTATAGTAAATAAGACGCTTGTTATGGATGAGTTAATAAATTATTGCAGATAACGAATTATATGTTCGTTCATTCAATGTTTTCTGAAGAATTGCAGGCAATTGGTTGTGAATCAACTGTCGACTATTGGAGACAGATTTATGGTCTAATGCATTTGTGACATGTTTTATTACTAATTATACGAAGCAAGTTCTCAGAAGATTTATATATCCATTGAAAGTTTAATTTGCTTATTCAGAAGCTTAAGATACGGAATTTTATTAACACTAAAGAAAATAGTGTTATTATTAAAATTAATAATCTTTAAGAAGTACAAAAGTATCGTATCGTATTTATTATGTACATACAACTTAAAAAATCTGTATCAAATATTACATTCTTTAAATTGAAAATGTACTTAACTCTTCAATAAGAACTGATTTTAAAATAAGTAATAAAATTTTTGTGATTCACAGCTATGGTATGCTTTAATCGATAATAACAGTTTATTGATTGGAAAGCCCTTATGCAATTAATGAAAGACCAATATTGATTGTAAATACATTGACCCTTGTTTTCCCCTACATAGAAACAACAAACAGCATTTTCTTTACTGATGTATTTGGAAGCAAAGTTCGAATAAAATGTGCCCAATATCCGGAAAATTGGTTTCCTTAAATGCGTATTTTATGGAAATATATAAGGTGATTTATTTCTACTTATTTTGTTTATTTTTTCGTATTTCTAGTAATGGTCTAAAAACTATGATAGTACTGCTTAGTGCGTCTTCTATCAGTCCGGATTTACTATAGCCCAGTTTGAAAATCTGAAAACAAACAACATTTATTGATGGAACTGACTATCCGTACTATATGAGGTATTGATGTGTTTATGTTTCTATAACTTCAATTGTAATTTTAACAATTTCTTTAATTGAAAATTACTTTCATGTCAAAAACTGCATAAAATTGGTGGTTTTGGCTGCAAGTGCATAGTACAAAGTGGCACTTACGTAAACTGTTGATCTGTTCGATTATTGGCTTTGTGCCACCAAATAATTCACACGTTGTATTCCCATCTTATGCTCATACATACACAGCAAGTATACCATTTAAGGTTAAACTGAATTTGCGTCTACAAATAGCGGTGATTTATTATACAAATATAAATTTAATTCCACACTGAAAATGTGTATATTCTATCCATATAATTTCGTATTATACACTTATTTGTTATACAATAAAATCAATATTTGATATGGTTGTTCTATTTATATTATTACGTAATACATGTATCAGATTTTAATTGGTATGGAACCAGTTATTAATTGTCATGGAAAACCCGTTACAAACACGAGGAGCCAGCGGTATTCAACTATAAAAATAGAAAATTGATCCGTGATAGCGTCAAGTCCATGGACACAATAGCAGACGGATCATTAATTATAGATACCGCAAGTCAATTCCACAGACTGCCAAGTATAATAATAACAAACCAAAAAATAAATAAGTAGAAGTTTTAAATTTATTTAATAGGTTATTAACTTTTTTAGTAACGAAACGTTTCTTATTACAGAAAGTAAATGCAAATCTTGTTGTACTTTCTTGTACTTGATTATTTTATATATTTTTTGCCCAAAGAAAATAATTACTATATGAAGTCAGCGTTCGCCATAATTGAATATGATCAAATTTAAAAAACATAATAATTTAACTTAACTAAATCGCATTTTTAACAAAACATATTTTAAAACTTGTAATGAAATTAATTAAAAAATATATTTGTCTAGCTATTTTGTGGAAAGAATAAATATTTTTTGTAATTATATTAGTTTTTACTAAATTTATGATTTCAAATGATTACAATTGGATTATTAATAACTTAATTAGTTACATAGTTATATTTCGATCGTCTTGCTTAATTAAATCAAATCATCTAAATTGAGTGGAAACTCAGTAAAGTCTGTTTCACTCTACAAATCCGTAAAATATTGTTTTGTTGAATGTTGTATTTAAAAAAAAACTTTCCCGGTGGATAGTTACCATTATGCTGATGACATTAATAATTATTTAAATCTATATACTAAATCTAGTGGTTTGCAACGCTTCAGCCTGTTTATTATTTCACTGTTGTCGAGTAGGCCAATAGCCAGAACAGTAGTATGTGACTCCAGTCTATCTTGGTATCTACTACTAAATGTTGGTATTATATCCTCGACTATATCTATATGGAGATCTTCGTGTATTTGTTTATTCTTGACGCACCACGGATCCCTAATAATATATCTTAGGCATTTTGATTGCAAGCTTTGTATGAATTGTATGTTCGATTTGCTGGCTGCACCACACAATTGGATACCATACGTCCATAATGGTTTCAGTATTACTTTGTATATAAGTAATTTATTTTCCACTGATAATTCCGACCTTTTTCCTAGAAGCCAGTAAAGTTTTCTAAACTTTATTTCTAATTGCTCCCTGTTAGCCTAGATATTTGACTTTTGTTGCTTTGGGCAGATCTTGTCCATTAACGCTTACAATTGGGCAGATGTCTTTCTTTAGCGTGAATGTCATATGTACGGATTTCATTTTGTTAACTGCTATTCTCCATTTTTTGAGTCATTCTTGTAGCTTATCTCCATATTCAGATGCTACTTCTAGATTCTCATCTGATGCCAAATTGTCAGGGAATGTTGCAATAGTAGTATTGCTAGTTTTAGGAATATCTGCTAATGGTGTATATTTGGAATGTATTTATTACGTTTTCTGTTTCGTGAACATATCTTTGTTGCATGAGGATTATGTAATTTCCTTGAGAGTAATATGTGAACGAAAACGTCCCTTTTAATAGAAAAAGGTTGGGAGCGTCCACAGTTCGTATTTATACATCCATCGCACGGAAGTGTTTCGAAAGGGACGAAGGAACAACGAATGAACGGAAGAAAAAAAATAGAAGAGGCAAATACAAGTAAAGCGAAATGACATCGGAGACGTACTTAGTAAAATTAAATCGATAGAGAGCAGTCAATGATGCATCGGCGTCGTCGGTGCTAAAGTTGGCAACGCCGTCAACTTTTGTTGTGTTGGTAGAAAGCCCTGAAAAATTAATTCCTCGCTTCCGCAACATTTCTTTCGCCTCGCAGCTTATGAATATTTTAGTGAACATTTTCCAGAATCAATTTAGGTTTTTCGACCCTTCCCTCTTCGTCCTCCACTCTCCCTCAAACCCCCTCCGCACATTTAATTGCTCGCTTCACCTGGCGACGCGTAATTAACCAATCACGATGCAAATTGCTCCAACCCGTAACGTCCTCTCTATCTTCCCATTTTCATCCTCGCCTCCCTTTAAACCATCCTCTCTTCTTCCGCTTATTTTTTTTATCTCTCTTTTACAAATTCATTCCATCCTCTTTCTCCTTTCCTTCTTAAGCGCCGTTAAGAATTGCATTACACGATTAATGCTAACGTTCCGTTAAGGCGTTTAATGGAATTTGCGGTGTGAGGTTTCCGAGATAAAACTTGATTGTGTTTGTACGCGTAAGTCTATATGTATACACACGTATACAGTCTCAGGTATTTTTCTTTCGCTTCCTTGCAATTTTCCTCGAGTGTAATTTAGGCCGAGAGTTAATTCAATATGCACGTGATTCGTTTTTAATCGCCTCCTGATTGATGCTTTGGCGTGCTTCATGGCTCTTA